ATTGACAGGTAGAGCAATCGCGTGTCATTTAGAAGTTATTTATTATTTGGCTTTAAGTGATATTCGTAGAAATTTGGCTCAGATAATTGACAATTTTCAATCTTCATTTGGGAAACATTTGGGTTAAATGTAACACACCATGGGGTTAAATGTTACACATAATATCTTCATTCCATTTTGCAATAATATTAATGTAATATTATATTTTATTATTTTCAAAAATCAAACCTGATAACCATGACATATAGGCAAAGGTAACCAAACTAGACTAGACTCAAAGCATCATGATACATAACTATTATTATGTAACTATTCACTATTAAAAAAATCTTGATTAAAATATATGGTAGGTAATGCATAGTTATTAATTAATTTATTTATTTATGCTAACATAAAATGTTAAAGAAAATAATTATAGTTTAAACTTCTTGTATACATTTCATATACCATACATTTTGGTAGATTCTGGGCCTATGAGCTAATACTGCTCTGTATCGCATAGGATTTTCATCTTTGCAGTATATTTGGTTTAGTTTTTTATGTGAATATTTAAGATTCATTTTCATTTAGTTGTATCCCTAAGTATTTCACAGAGTCACTGTTGCTATTCCATTTTCAAAATTTCTATCTTGAGAACCATAAAGATAATTTATCAAGGTAGTTTCATCGATCTTTAACTCTTTTATCAACAATTTGAGGATTTTGTTTTGTGTTATAATTGCCATAATATGCAAACATTCCCATCAGTCATCAAACAGTAATTTGGTGGTGATATGTGATGGCAGCATATATTAAACAGAGTTGGTCCTAGGACAGATATTTGAGGGAGGTCCGCTTTTATTTGGAGTGCTTTGGAGAGGTTCAATTCTTACCTGGAAGGAGTGATTTTTGATAAATTATAAGATCATGTTGTAGAGGTATGTTAGAAGAACTTTAGGATTTATAATTTTGGTATAAGTCCTTGATGCTACTCTATTAAAGCCCTGTGATATACGGAGAAAAGCTATGATTGTAAATTTGTTATTTTTAAAATCCATTGTTATTGATGAATAGTTGAGTGGAAAGATTTGAATCCAAATTGATAAGGAGGTATAATTTTTGGTATCTAGTGGTTTTATTGTGTAGAGTATAATTCTTTCTAAGAGTTTAGAGAGAGTTGGGCACAAACATAAACAATCATAAACTACTTTTAAAATTAATATATTTTGCATAAATTGCGTTTTCATTTTTTCTTGGAGATTTTTTTTGCACTAAAATGTTTAAAACAATAAATATTTGTAAATAGAACATTTTTCTCTATACAACATACCTTTATATAGACATTTAAACCAGAACACCACTTGTTCAGAAAATCATAAAACTTCAATCTAACTTCTAAGAATAGGTACCGATTTTATCACAGGCGCAAAAAAAGGAGGGGGTGTGAATTATGGGCTTTGCTTCTCAAACCTTTTATAAATTTAGTTTAAGTTTGTTCAATATTATTATATTAAAAGGCTTTAGCCCACCTAAAAAAAAAATCTCAAACGCTATTTGTGCCTATGGGGAAAATTGTTTGATTATAAATATAAATATAATAATAAATGTTGGACGTATTCTAATATATGATTATTTTGAACCCGTAATAATTTAACCTAATCTCGAGCCTAATCTTAAGACGTGACATCGTACAAACATGGGATAAGTGCGCCTTACCAGTCTCGGTTTGCTATAATATAGCCATAAATATTGATGACATTATTTCTAGATTTGAAAAAACAAAACAATAAGTTCTTTAAAGAAGATAATGAAAAAGTTTTAAAGTTTATAAATGTCTAATCTTAGTTAATAATTTACTTTCATTACCTACATTTTTAATGTGTATGATCTTTTATAAAAAACTACCCCCCCTCCTAATTGTAGTTCTGTTCCACATGTATTTAAATTTAATAATTATTATTTTTATAACGATTGGTTATATATGTATGTTCTAATTAAAAAACAATTAATCATGGAGACTTCAAATTTTTCAGCCATTTCGTAATTTATTATTTCCTAAACATACAATTAGTTTTTAGAAATATTTAGACTCATTTTAACTTTTAATCTATATATCAGGAACCCGCTCACATCGTTCTACGGTTCGCAATATTTATGTATAACTGTATAAGTATAACTATATTAATAAACTTATGCAATATCTATGGCTATAATATTAGTTTAACATATCGACTACCAATAAGTAATTGAAAAATTAATTACTAATACCTAGTAATATAAAAAATTAATAAAATTCCTTAGAAATATAGGGGCTATCCTGACTAGATAATTTTTTATAACTTATATGTAATGATTTCTGATTAAATTATAGTAAGCTACTCAATGATGAACTACACTCGAAACTACTTGCAACATAGCAACTATCCCGTTTTTTTTTTTTAAATATAAAACTTATTTATTATAATGGCTGTATATATAATGTATTATAATATAATATAAGGGAAAAATTATTTTTCTCACTAATTTGTTTTTAATTAAAAAAAAAAATATATATATATAATGAATACTATTTTACTAACAGTCACATTTATATAAATACATAAAAATTCAACATAAATAAAAGGGACATAATAAAATATAATTTATACTAAACTATAAGGTGGACGAGTGTTATAATTAGTGCATTATTGGTCACAAAAAAGGATGGGAAGGGCAAAATGTGTATTTAGTGTAAAAAAATAAAGCTGGAGCTGAGTAAACCATATCTACCCTTAGGGAATGATGGCACTGGGTTGCAGGTCATTGCTTAGTCGTAAAGTCTAATAGATCTGTTTTTCGTATAAAACCTCATGGGTCCTTTGAAATCCTTTTTCCCTTCCAAAATGAATGTACCTATATGAAAATTTATTTAAGTTATCCTATTTACAAATAGAAAAAAATGTAATATTTTAGCCCTCCGTATGTTTTCAAAAATCGTTGAAAACATAATTTATAATAAATATAGAATAAAGAAATATTATTATATTATTTATTTATTGTTATGCTTAATTTAATAACAGTAGTTATTATCTTACCTTTGATTTTATTATATCTATATTTTATCCTTATTATGGTTGATACTTAACCCCAAAAATGTATTTAAATATTTAGATAATATATGTATTAAAAATTTAAATTAAATTAAACTGTTTTAATAGTTGCCTACCATTTAACAATTATATAACGTAGTTAAATCCTCAAATCATAATAATTTGATACTAAAACCTAAATACAGAACAACATCATAATATTTATAATTTAGTGTTATATTAAATTGTCAGTTTAAATATCATATCAAAGTTAACAATTTTTATACATTTTTTCGATGATTATTTTAATTATAAGATATGATTAATTGATTATTTGTAGAAGTTCTATTTATATTATATAAATTTTATAAATTATAAAGTACAGTTTTACTATATTATTTTGGTATATTATTACCGCTATTTAAGTATACTAGATACCTCATATTAATGTATGCGAAATATTCAAAATTATAGCTACTTTTCATTTTATGAATATAAACAACAGTCCATAGTATAATATTTTAAACTAAAAAAAACATTTTTCGTGAAATTTCTTTTAAAAAAAGACCATCTCCAAACTGTATACACCAATATACCCCTGCTTCCCTGTACAGTCAACTATATATATATATACAATTAGGTATAGATACTGCTTTCACTTTAATTATTCTTATCCCTTCCCCAAAAATAAAATATCAATATAAAGCATTTTCATGGTAGGTACCTATATTTTTATACATGATTATTAATTTTTATCTTTAATAAGTGTATCTGAAGACTAAAGTACTTCTCAACTATAAATTTCTTGTAGGCATACATTTTTGTAATTGATTTAAATAGATACTAATATTTTTGTCATGTATATAATAAACAAAATTATTTTTAGTTAAAAACCATACTTTATATACCTATTTTATATCATATTACAATTTTGTATTTTGTATACATATTTTTTTGAATTCAAATTCGAAATAACGCAGTTATAGAATACTGTAACAACCTGCACAAAAACAACACATTATCAGAGAAAATATTTATCAAGTTTTTTGGTATGATAATAATAATTGTTTTTATTAATTCTTGTAATAGTAAATTGTATTTATAGTGGTATTGAATTTATTAGTACAAACAAAATTCTAAACTAAATATTAATTAGTAATAAGAATGGTTATTCTTATATATACCTAAATTGCAAATTATTTTAAATCGAACGCTTTGATTAATTATTCTAATAAATATTATGGTGATATTATAATTTATAATCATTACTCCTGTGTTTAGTGATGGTTTTGTAAACGCTGTTCAGGGTTTGATCATCATTATAAATATTTAGATACTCTCACAAATATCGATTACAATCGTGACAATCATCAGGTTGTCAAGGCCATTAATAACGTCATGTTGATATCTATTAAAACCCTCGTTTAAATGGAGACACTCTACATTATGAATAAAACACTCACTTCTACTAAACAATTTTAGTACGTAAAATATGATTCTTTTAACAACAAACTCGCATTATATCAAAAAGTGTTAACTTTTATGGATATTCTCTTTTTTGAAAATATAATGCGATTCCAAAATGTTTTATTGATCTTATTTTTTTCAACCCTCTTAATGAACTTTTGATATTAAAAGAGCTATATTTTTAGTTTTTGAACCTGGAGCAAAATGCTTTTCTAAAAATGTTGATGAATAAATATCGATAATCTACTGAAAATAATGACAAAAACTTATTTTGATTTCGAATATTACATTAAAATAAGTAGTAGGATACAAACTAGTAATATATTTGAAAATAGTAATCTGAACTGAAACACAATTACTTAATAACAGTTATCGGATAATAATTGACAACTAATAATAGTTTAAAATATGAACATTTTAAGCTGAATACATTAATAATATTTATTGTATCAAAATATATTAATTTATCTTTGATTTTTTTTTCAGGATTAACGTCATCACCTTCGTTCAGTATAATCTTATTCTTCACATGTGTGATTATAAGGTAACGAGTCCAACGTAAAATGGGAAAATGTTTCCATTCGTTACCATGTAAAAATTTAGTGTAAATTATAATTATTATAATGTGTTGATAAAGTATAAAATGTCGGTCAAAATAAATCTCTTATACTTGAACGGGTTATTTTTCTGAAAATATATGATTAACAGTGAAGCTAATTTCTGCCATAAATAACTTAACAATATGTTTAATTATCTATATAAAACAATACATTATTATTAAACTCTTGCCGATTTAGTTACACATCTATATGCATCTTTAATGTGTATTATGAATATTTATACTTGAAATAGTTTTGACTATATTTAATAATATGGTCACATTATAATATAAAAATGTAAAAACAATAGTTTTAAATGTTCGTGCATTCATAAATATTTAAGGTTTATGTATTTAACAATGACATGTTTTTGACGACGATTTTTTCAAAACTGTAAGTATTTCACATGATTTCGGATACATAATATTTGTGTTCATTATGTATTAAATGTTTTATAACTTCAATATATCTGCTAAAATTTAATCTTCTAAAAATATCGTTATGTGTTATTAAATACAAAAACAACAACTACATACTTACCCACATATAGTTTTAGTATTCTACTTTATCTGTATAATGTATATAAATATATAATATTTACAGTAGTATTAAATAATTGAATACCGACATTTTATTACATTCCAGTTATTATAATATAATAAAATACTATTAATATTATATTGTGTTAACAAATGTTGAATGCTATTCAAATAATTAATTTGTATAAGATGTCTCTGTATGTATCTAAGATGTCTATGATGTATGATTATAACATTTATTTTCCGTAAATGTATTAATAATTAGAAAATAAAGTGGTATTGTAAGTAAAATTTTTAATTATTGTTTCTTAAACTTTTGAGGCCCTTGCCTACTTTTATACTTTTGTATATATGGATGAGGTCAACACCCCTCCCCATCATAAGCTTACAATAGCATATTACTATATTATTTATAGCAGTGGTCTTCAAATGGTGGGTCGCGACCCATTTTTGGGTCACGTAAGCTTTAAAATTGGGTCGCGATACGTCTTCCTTTTGAAATAAAAAATAAGTTTAATAGATGAAATAAATAAAAATACAGTTTATATAGGTAATCTATAATATAATGGATATCAAATCACAGTTTATTCAGTTATAATAAGTAGTATACTACCTATACCATACAAAGCATTAAACAATTTTAATTTTTTTTTTTTTTTTCTATAAAACTTACGTGGGTCGCGAAAAATGCAGGCCTAAAAAAGTGGGTCTCGAGTCCAAAAAGGTTGAAGACCACTAATTTATAGTGATAACAAAATACCCATGTCCATTGGATTTTCTAAATCTTCCAGACTCACAAGGGCTCACCCAGATTGAAAACCCTTGTTCTACAGAATGCCACTCCATGATGACGCGACTACATAAACTTACTTAAATGTATCAATATAAATATTTTTAGTAAAATAATATAGTTTATAAGAACATGAGTTAAAATAAAACATTCTTAAAATAATAAAAATGATTTTGAAAGTCATATTTGTGATAAACCTACCTTGCTTCCTATTGATATAAATTCCATATTATGATGTATCGTATTTTTATTCCAAATGAAGTAGAGAAAAAAATAAGTACCTAACTATATTGAAAAGCTAAAACAAAATAAGATATTAACACCGCTCTTCAAAAATAAATTAATATAATCTAAATTCCCCAACTAATAGAAAAAAAAATAAAAAGATTGTTCCTTCATGTTGTTAAATAGGTATATAATTTCACTCAACTTATACTCGTATTTCATTTGCAGGTACAGATTGTGTATTTAATATAATTTTTAAAATAATAATTTAAAATAGCACATACAAATAAAAAGAAAACCATTTACTTTTTGTTATTAATTGTTTACCTAGGTATATTGAGATAAATGGAACCCAATTCTAATCAATACCATACACGCTTAGATAACGGTAAAAAAATGTACAGTTTTGCAACTGATAGAAAGCCATTATTTATTTAATAATAAACTCAATAAAAAGTCAAACTAAAAAATAAAAAGTTGTTGATTTAATGTCTAAAATATTAATTCACAAATTTTCAGAAATTCGGTTCCTTAATAACGATAAAACATATAAAAATTTAAAATGTAAGACATTGTTATATTATGAGAAAAAACCTGACATTAAAAAATCTGGACAGGATATTGGGAACTCGTTTCATTTCGCTTATCTACTGATGTAAGATATAGCGATGTGATGTGATATTACATTTAAAAGGCATGAAACCAGCGCAATTGATAAATTATTCAGATTGGAGTTTAGTATAAACGCTTCCTGATATTTCTTCATAGTTTTTCAACAGTTGTTGAATTTAAAAACAAAAGTATGAATACAAATAAGTAATAACACCTTTATAAAACCAATATATTACACTTTTCATTTGCATAGTAAACAATTAGGGTGACAGAGTGGATGAGAGGACTAAGGCGTCGGTTGCGAAGCGCACCGTCGCCGGTTCGAGTGTGGCATTTTTTTTCGGGCAGTCAAGGTGTCTAGAGAGAGGCCGTCATCCCCCACCCGGGCATAGCAGATACTTGCTGGTGCCCACTTAAAAATTCTGCCAAAAACAAACACACAGGTATTCAAAACCTACAGTACCCTCCCCCCACAGTTCCACAGGCTAATCACCTCAGTTGTCGAAGCCTCAACCCAAAAGAAAAAAAATATATATTATATTTTTACAATTTGAGTTGAAAGACAAGATCAACTTTAACGAAGAAACAATTACAATATAATCACATCATAGTATATTATTACTGCATTCAGGTAAGTAATATTTTTAGAAATATTCAACTGCAACAAAATTTCTGATAATTTCATCAATTGAAAAAATCTATATTAATTTATGTAACGTATTATGCATGGCCGACAATAATTTATATTTATAAGTGGTAATATATTATTTTTATTATTAATTTTTTTAATCCAAATTTGGAATTCCTCAAAAAAATCAAATCTTTACAAAACAAAACACAAATAACACAAAACATAATAGTTCGTTTCATTACAAAAGCTCATTTCAATAAATCTAATCAACAACCAGACAGAAAATTATCACAATGCTAGAAACCGCTATCAAATCTTACACACGATACCACAACTCACTCCTTCATCGATAACCACAAGTCACAACACAGGGATGTTGCCAGTGGGCGGCTTCTCCAATCAAGTCTTCATGTTAAACCTAATTGTGTTAGGTACCTATATCGAGCTTAATAGCTTATTATACAAAAATTATATAGATCTTTAAATCTAATTAAAAAAATTTAAATGCTTTAAGCAATATATCAAAATATACATCATGATAAAAACTAATTATGAAAGCACCTATAAATTAACTTAATTCGTGTACCTCATTGAGTTAATTGTTAATTAACACACTCATCTGGACCATCTCTTTTTACATTTTCTTATATAATATTCATAAATTCCCATTTATACACTATATTATTCAAACAAAACTACGGTAATTTGTACTTAGTATTTCAAAGTAGATAGTTTAAAACACATTATCAATGCAAAAATTAAAAAACCAACATAAAATAAATACTTATAAACTATTTGTCACGCCCAATATTGTCCAGGCCAAATATTTGTATTTTAGATTCTGAGGGGAGCAATTGATTTTGCAATTATGTGTGATTTTTTTTTTTGTGTGTGTCTGTGTACATACTAAGTAGTCGAAATAATGCTTCGATTTTCAATTTCAGTACCTTGTTCGATGGGAAAGTGAATCTAGTTGATGCATTGGGGAGGTCAAATTCCCATTAGTGTTCAAAAGCGCCGAGAAAAACAAAAAAAAAAAATTAAGGAAAACCGGGAATTTTTAAGCTAAATTGATTTTGGTTATTGGTGTAACTTTAAAACAAATGACCATAGTTAAATTCAATTTTTATGAGCGTTTGAATTTCATATTTTTATACGATTGGATATTTAGACGATTTCTAATGTAGCGATTTTCTTATTTTGTTGTAATCCAAAAACGAATAACTATACTTACATAAATGAATATTTCACTGAATGTTATATTTTCATTTTCTATTCACCATACGATTTTGAAAATATTTTGAATTGTTTTGAGCTGTTTACGGACAATTTCAAATTAAAGTTTTTTTTCTATAATTATCAATAAAATGTTTTTTTGTTTTCCAAAACGCGTGAAAATTGAATACAAGGCTCCTGATATACTGTTACAATATCAGTTTATATGTGCTCACTTTTTTTCATAATCATTTAAAGTTAGAATTTTGATTAAATTTATAAAATGTTCAACTTTAATAGGTAGCTAAGGATGGAAAATTTAAAACAAGGTCCCACGTAAATAGATTATAATATATCAATTACCTACTTTATTATACATAGTAATATATTAAGCTGACTGCCTGTCTTCGCTCAGAATCGTTTTCTTATACAATGATATTATATCATTGGAGTCAAATTTAACGCTATCCATTACAGTGACCCACTTGTAACCTACTGTACAGCAGAGCGACACCCACTTGCCCACCTTTTTTAATAAGTATATTTGTACAAAATTTATATTTCATATTTCTCCTGTTTATAATATTAATATAATATGTAACAAATTGCAACCATTTAGATATAAACAAAAAATATTTTTTTTCGGTAAGAGCTGAAAAATTAAGCTATAAACACCCTCAAAATTTCAAGTAATCTATTGATATAACTTTAAAAACGGCCCAGTCAGTATTTAAGTCTATTAACATCGGATGAACCAACATCCAATAATTTTAGTTGTATAAACCTATTTCGCCCTGGAGAAAAAGAAAAATTACAAAATTTAGATCTTATAAGTGTATCTTGGTTATGGTGCACCTACCTACAGGTTAAGCATCACTTTGTGAACTAATTTGACCAAGATGGACATTGGACAATTCATTTGTGGTGGATAGCACTT